ATCATGACCTGAGCCGAAGGCAGTCGCTTAACCAACTGAGCCACCCAGGCGCCCGGGTGGTGCTATTTCTGAAAGCCCAAACAGCGTGGCCGCTACACACCTGATTCTGTAAGATGACCGCACTAGACAGATAAGTCCATCCTTATCCACAGGGGATATATTCCAAGACCCTCACAGGATGCCTGAAACTGCAGATTGATACTGAACCCTGTCTGTACTACATGTTTCTCTATACCTACCTAACTATGATACAGTTCAATTTGTAAATTAGGCACAGTAAGAGATCAGCAATAACTTGTAATAAAATAGAACCACTGTAACAATATACTGTAATAAAAGTTATGTGAATGTCACCTCTCTCTCCAACTATCTTATTGTACCATGCTCACCCTTCTTACAATGATGTTCGATGATAACACACCTATGTGATAAGATGAAGCAAGGGGAATGATGTGGCATTGTGACATCGTGTTAGGCTATGGATGACCCTCCTATAGGTTAGGAGGACCATCTGTTTCCAGGTTGACTGCAGGGGACTAAAACCATGGAAAATGAAACAGGGAGAAGGGGAGACTCCTATATTTTCATAACTTGAAAAGCAAACATTCTCTCCTACTCTTTCTGGTAGGCACTGGGCTATCAGCTGCCCAGGGGTCCTTGAGGAAGTCCCTCCCCACCTTGGTGCTGTAGGCTCCTCAAAGGGGCTGGAACTGACTTGGTCCCTTCGAGCTCCCACATCTCTCCCGTCCAGTGCCACCAAGCTATCACCAGACTCTAAGACAGGGCTTTCTTCCAATCCTTCCATTATAACATCATCCACATCACTCAAAACCCCACATGGGTAATTTCCCTGGAAGCCATAGAACAAGTGTTGCCAAATGTCAGGCTGTCACCACCTGTGTAACTGGCCAGAGACAAAGGGAAGAGGCTCTGTTGCAATTCTAAGACTCCTTCCCTCTCTCACCCCCGCTGAGGATTCACTGGTTTCTTCTTCCCAAAGACCAGAGCCCCACCTTCTTATGACTCTTGCTAGGCTCGAAGAGGCAGAATCCACCCTTTAGCAGTTCACAACACAGTGGGTGGGGAGACGGTACTAACGCCAGGCACTTCAAAACAGAAGACAGGTACAGGGGTTCTCAGATTCTGGAGAAAACTGCTGGGTACTTTATCACCACCACCAACCAGACACAAGGGGCAAAATTCCAACCTCACAATCCTGCCCTCCCCCTTTTTAAAAATATATGCTTTAGGGGCGCCTGGGTGGCTCAGTCAGTTAAGCGTCTGACTCTTGATCTCAGCTCAGGTTGTGATCTCAGGGTCGTGAGTTCAAGCCCTGCCTTGGACTCCACGCCCAGCGTGGAGCCTACTTTTAAAAAACCAATTAATTAATGAAAAAAATTAAAAAATTAATTTAAAAATTGAATTCTAAAATAAAAAATATATGCTTTATCCACATGACAACTCAGTATTGGCTTATTGACATGGGCTTTTGGAGGTGGAGTTGCGTTCAAATCTCCCTTCTACCGCTTAGTAGCTGTAGGACCCTGCATAAGTTTGCTACATTTATCTGGGTCTCAATTTCCTCCCCCATAACAACAGAGACAATTCCACCTACCTCACAGAGTTGAAAAATTAAATAATAGGTAAGAAAGTGCCTTGCACGTAATAGGTGTTTGGTAGATATTAGCTTCCTTCCCCTTCAATTTTTCTAAGCAACTGGGCAAAGAAGATAACTAAAAATCTCATGGAGAACTGAAAATAAATCCTTTATACACTGATCTAGGCTCTTGTTTATTGGTTTGTTTATCGGAATCCTAGTGCCTGGTACAATTTTAAAATCTGGTATGGGAACTCTGCAAAGGCGGGGATTATCTTTGTAGCCCTAGCCCAGTGCCTGGCAAATGGGAAGCACTAGGTGAATGCTTGTTGAATGAATGAATGAATGACGAATTTGATGCAAGCAGGGCTGGTGCACGTGTGGAGTACATAAGAAGCACGAGAAGAGGGAGGTCAGAATTATCAGCGTACAGAGTTTAGCTGATCAGTGTGAGGTTTGCAGGCCAACAAGAATTATTCTGTGGAACAGCATTTGAAGTCTGTTTAGACAGCTCTGGGGAGCCTTTTTTCCTAAGTGGCAAAGCTCTTAATACTACTCTAATACTATCTCTCCTCCATTCAGCCGTGCCTTACTCAGAAAGAAAGGTAAAACGCATGCCAAGAACCAAACATAGATAGTCATCCTGACGGTGAGGAAGCATTACCAATTCAGTTTTTCACACATTTTTTCTAGCGTTAAGACGAAAAGATCAAACTGAATAGATGGCTCCGTGATACAAATATATGCTGTCAGAGTGTTTTTAAATGTAAAATTCTTAGCATTTCCTGACCTTGGTGGGGAGTGGGGGTGGGGAATGAGTAAATAGTCTTATTAAACTTTAAAGATTTATCTGGTGTCAAGTTCCCTCACAGGTGTGTGAGGAGGGGTCTGAAAACCTATTAGTTTATGCTTTATGGTTTACAAAAACATTTTGGATTCTCGGATCTCACCAGGCCACCCGAGGGGCTTCTCCCACAAAGCGATCCTGCTCTCCCCAAAACAATGGGTTTGAGATTGCACTGAATCCCGTTCTGCTGCTCATAGGGAGATGTAACCCTTGGGAAGTTGGAAAGGTCCTGCCCTTCACCTCCCAGCTTTACCCTCTTATAAGGGAAAAAGTAAGAACTAAGGGTTACTGGTCATGTGTTAAATAAAATAAAATGAAAACAACTGCAGGTGCTTGGGAAGAAGTGGGACCTGGAGGCAGTGGTCTAGATAGAGAAGGACCCCATAAATACTTGCTTCAAATATTTGGAGAAGGCAGTCATAATGATGAGAGAACAGAAGGCAAGCTGAGGACAAAGCAGAAGCTGACACCCCAACACCCCTCCCCCCATGGGATCTATGTGACGTTCCTCAGGCACTCCTGGCTGCCCCAAAGGAAAAACAAATAGTTAACTTATAGTGATCACATTCCTACAAGACATGAGTCTCCCTCAGTTTACAAATGTCTTAGCAATCTACAAGAACAAAGCATTCCTACAATAACCTAGCTTCCAGAGGGAAATAGATACAATTAAATGCCCTTATAACCTGCAGCCCATTGACAGATAATTGAAGTGGCAAAGTGTAATGTTCCTCCAGGAAGTTCCCAACTATCTTAATGTTAATGCCTTACTAGTGGGGTAAACAACCTTAACTTGACAATGGCAAGGCCTCTGGTATCCTGTGAGTCTTCTTTAACATATAAAAATCCTTTTGAAACCTCCCTTTTCCTTACCTCCCCCAACCCCATAGTATATAATCAGCCACCCCTCACAACCCCGGGGCAGCAGCTCTTTCTGCCCACGGGTCCTGTCCCTGTGCTTCCATAAGCTACCATTTTGCACCAAAGACGTCTCAAGAATTCTTGCTTAGCTGTCGGCTCCGGACTCTACCCCACTGAACCTCACCTATATTCCAAAACCCCATCAATAACATGCCCAACGTTTGGGTCATAACCTCACTGAGATGCAAAGAGATTCTCCTTCCAAAAAGAAAGAAAGAAAAGGGATTGAGATAGGAGCTTTCCACGCCTTTCCAAAAAGGTTTCTAGGCCTTGGAAATTCAGCAGGAGATTTCTATTCCATCCTGCTAGGCTTGGCTCTACTCCCCAGGGAAGCAGTTTGGCCCAGAGCACTGTTTCCACTGTCCTCACTTCAGCCTGGTATAAAAGAAGGTAAGCATGGGGCCAGGGGCCAAACACCACCAAGCCAGTGCTCAGTGGTTCTATGTTAGTACAGGACATACTGCATTCTAGGAAAGCTGGTGAGTCAGGCTAAAAATATCCATCAAATTCTGACCATCCCAGAATAATCTGATGCCCATGGGCTGCTCCCTGAGAAAGAACAGCTTTCCTGAAATCACAGGTCTAAGCCAGTGGACTTGATGTGGGAAACAAAGGTAGAAGGAAAATTATTAAGTTTCCTCACTACCTACAGCCCATTGACAAGTCCTTGGAACAGGCAGAGTGACATTCCTCTAGGGACTCAGCTGCCTCGATGTTAATACTTTGCTAAGGGCAAAAGGCAATTCTAGTCTGACCCCCCCTTCCCCCAGGATCCTGTAAGTCTACTTTAACATATAAAAATTCCTTTGGAAACTTCCTTTATCTCTAACCCCCCCCCCAAGATACATGTTGGCAATCATCCCCCAAGCATATGGCCCACTGATATACATCTGAGGGGTCTCATGACTAAGGTTTTATTAGACAGTAATAAATGACCTTTTCCCAACAGTAGCTAGCCCTCTCAAGGTCCTGGAAACCTTGCTTCCAAAATTCTTTAGTGACTTAACGCTACCCCTAACCCCCTCCCAACTTGAAAGTATATAACGGGCCACTCCTCATGACCCCATTGCAGCTCCTTCTACCTACGGGTCCTGCCCCTGGGCTTTCATAAAATCACCTTTTTGCACCAAAGACGTCTCAAGAATTCTTTCTTGGCCGTTGGCTTCGAACCCTAATAACGTCTTTCCTATATCAGACTGACGGGGTCAGGAAGGAGATCATAAACCCGAGGACATTCCAGAAGCATGCTTTCTGCTGGGGGAGGAGAAACTGTCGGTGAAGGAAAAGGTCTCCTTCTGTTCCCCTAACCTTCTCTTACAGAGCCATCCAGTCACAATCCCTCACTCCCGCCCAGCCATGAAGTCCCCCAGGGTCACAAACACTGCTGAGGTCAGAAAACCACAGGCTCCCACACACTTAGGTGCCCTCAGGTACAACCCAACACAGTGAGCTTCACAATGATATGATGCCCATTCCTCTGAACACCCGCCAACTCCTTGACCCACCTGATTGCCAAAGACAGCTATGGAGCAGGCCGTTGAGACCTCATTAGCCCCAAACCAGACAGAAGCAATGCAGGAGGGCATGCCCAGGATGAAGACCTGGGCCACAGAGCAGATGATCTGGCCTAGGACGGTGACTGGGAAGAGATGTGGCTTCAGGCTCCCCAACTTCACCCAGGCCCCCAGGCAGTTGAGAGCAGAGCCAGTGAGGGCGATGGTGCGCAGGCCGAATTTCTCCAGCAACCAGGCCACGGGCAGGATGAGAGGGATGTAGGTCAGCATGTAACACATGGACAGCCAGTCGATGGCAAAGGCACTGACCCCGTAGAAGTTCATGAAGATGTTATTGATGGAGCTGTACTGGATCCACTGGAAGGCATTGCACATGGAGTAGCAGCTGAACAGCAGGACCACCACCCAGCGACGCTTGCTCACCTTGATCACGCTACGGTCCTCGGGGCACGAGCTACTGGGGTAGGCCAAGCCACCGGGCTGGGCCAAGGTTCTGGGGTGGGCAGAACTGCTTGAGTGGGCCGACACGCTGGGGTGAATGGAGACGCTGGGGTGGGCCGACACGCTCGGGTGGGCCGACACTCTGTGGTGAATGGAGACGCTGGGGTGGGGCGACACGCTCGGGTGGGTCGACACGCTGGGGTGAATGGAGACGCTGGCGTGGGCCGACACGCTGGGGTGGGCCGAGGCGCTGGGATCCGCGCGCAGGGCAGGCTCCTGCGCAGAGCTGCCATCGTGCTCCTGTTGGTTGGGCTCTTCATTCACCATGACCACAGCCTCTCCTGGAGCCCGAGACAGGTGCTGAGGACCCCGGCAGTCTTAAGGGACAGTGGCCTCGGCTGCTCCCTTAGAGCTGACAGGGCACTTGCCCAGGCCCACCCCAGAAGACACGGAGACCCGAGCCTGCGTAAAAACTGCGAGCCGAACTCCCTTCACTCACCCCCAAGCTCTGTTCCCACTTTTCTTGGTGTCTTCTGCCACCGACCGCTGTCCCCCAGGCCGGCCGCAGCACCTCAGCCCGGTGCTGGCTACGGGTGCCTTGAGTCCTCCCCAGGGGTTCAGGCCAAGTTCAGTCCCTCGGTCCGGGAGAAAAGTTCGCGCCTGGCACGGAGCCTCTAGGTGGGACTTGGTTCCGCTCCGGGGTGGCTTGGGGCCCCGCCCCCTCGGGCGCACGTGACCGCCCCACCCCCGTCCAGCTGGGCTTCCCCCACCCTCCTGCTCCCCCCTTCCCTCCCGCCTTCTCGAGCCGGGCTGGTCCGGCTGCGCAGTTGTTTCGCCACAGCTTGCGGGGTGCATTCCTCCCCCACGCCCCGGGTGCCATGGAAACCGCCGGGTTAACCCCCACCCTCCGCACCGCCCCTCAGATTCATTTGCCTCTCCCAGGGGACCCCGCAGGAAAAAAAATCCCCGAAGCTCTGCCGAGGTAATCCCACAGCTAGCGTCTCCTCGGTGCGGGTCCCCATCCCCTGCGCGTGGGCACCGATGCCCGGCGCTTCCGGAGTGCTCTGGGGAAATCCAAGAGGGCTTCCCGACTTTTTACCAATTGGCTGAGCTCCCAGATCCTTGCTGAACTTTCGGTATAAAGAGATTTGTAGATTTCTCGGTCTGGTTGCGCTCCTCGGGTAAACGGGAATTGCAGGAAACTCGTTTTGCTTGTTGCCTTGCCTGCGGACGTGGTCATTTAATGGGGAACTCAGATGTGAACCTGTGAGGCAGGCCTCTTCCTTCCTGTCGGTCCCTGCGCAGCTTCCTAGGCGAGCACCTGCGGGTGGAGGGCAGCCTCTGGGAGTTTGGAGAGTCTTTAGTGGCGGCCTTGTGGGATGGAATACCCAGCGCTATGTGGCCTTTAAGTAGCCCTGGGCTGCCACCTGTTGATCCCAGCCCATTACAGAGGGTAATCCCTCAAGTCATCGCCTCCGGAGTGTCAGGCCTGCAGGGCAGAAATGCCTGTTCGCAGCGTCCATTTCAGCCCCAGAGAGGGATAAAGAGCCGAGATTCTCCCTGGGTTCAAACTCCAGCCTAGCTACTCCCAGGTGTGTGATATAAATTACGATACTCCACTTCTCTGCCTCGGTTTCTTCATCCATAAAATAGGGATGGTGAAATCATAAGTACCCACCTCACAGTGTCGTTTTGAAGCTTGAATGATGTAGGACATGAAAGTGCTTTGAAAACTCCTGGCAGATGGTAAGCGTTCCAGAAGTGTTGGCTATCCTAATAATTCAAAGGCTAACATTTGTTGTATCGTGCCAAACATGTTTACTACATTATGTCATTAAAGCATCACAAGAACTCTATGATGTAGTTACTATGGCTTGCCTGCATTTAAGATCAGAAGACTAAGGCTCAAAAAGTAAGGTGACTTCTTAAGATCCCAATTGGCTTGAAGAGCCATGGTTCCCTGGCAAGTCTGTATTCATTCAAGCTACAGCCTAGCTGCTCAAATGCATCTGGGGACAGCAGTGTGGGCATGCCCCTGGGAGCTCGTTACAAGGGCAGAAGCCTAGCCCAGCTGGACCTCCTGAATTAGAGGCTATATTTTAGAAGATCTCCAGGTGATCTGCTTGTTTGCACATAAAAGTTTGAGAGCCACTGGGTGCCACTGCTTTCCTTTTGTTTTCTTTTTAAATTTTCAAACAAAAAATGAATTTAAAGCCCCGGGCAGTGGTTCTCATGGGTTGAACATTAGAATCACGTGGGGAACTCAACATTCTCAGTACCTCGGCCACACCCCAAATCAGGTTCATTAAGAGTGGACCCCTGGCATCTGCACATTTAAGCTCCCCAGGTGGGGCGCCTGGGTGGCTCAGTTGTTAGGCGCCTGCCTTCAGCTTGGGTCATGATCCCGGGGTCCTGGGTCATGATCCGGGGTCCTGGGATCTAGCCCCACATCGGGCTCTGAGCCTGCTTCTCCCTCGCCCACTCCCCCTGCCTGTGTTCCCTCTCTCGCTGTATCTCTGTCAAATAAATAAATAAAATCTTAAAAAAAAAAAAAAATCTGCCCAGGTGATCTCAGCAGGGAGCCAAGTTTGAGCACCCCTGTGGGGCCTGAGCCCCTGGTTCCCAGGAGGAGGAACACTGGAAACATCCACTTTTTGGCATAAATCATGGGGCCTTGGATTATAATGGAATGTTTGGAGAGAAAACTCATACCCACAAAGAATCTCTACACTAATTTAACAGTCCCCATTCTCAAAATTCCAGCAGTGTTTCCCATCATTCTCCAAGGAGCACAGAACCTCCATTCTCTTGGAAGGCCTTCTAAGACCTCCCACTGCTTCTTATTCCTAGATCATCATGGACCTCTCTCCAACTCTTCACAATGTATTCTTTTTTAAAAGAAAGAAAGAAGGGCGCCTGGGTGGCTCAGTTGGTTAAGTGACTGCCTTCAGCTCAGGTCATGATCCTGGAGTCCCGGGATCAAGAGTCTGCTTCTCCCTCTGACCCTCCCCCCTCTCATGTGCTCTCTCTCTCTCTCTCTCAAATAAATGAATAAAATCTTAAAAAAAAGAAAGAAAGAAATTTATTGGGCGCCTGAGTGGCTCAATTGGTTAAGAAAGAAATTTATTAATTTTTTAAAGTAATCTCTACACCCAGTGTGGGGCTTGAACTCAAGATCAAGATCAGATGCTCTACTGACTGAGTCAGCCAGGTTCCCCTTTATAATGTATTCTTAACTGCATCTTACAGATATGGAAACTGAGGCCCAGAGAGTTGGAGCCTGTAACTCAGAGCCCCACAGCTACTTAGCATCAAAACAAGCAACAGTATGGTTCTGTGAGCTCCCCTCCACCCACCACACCTCCTCTCCCCCACTGCGTGCTCCTCTGGGGTAACAAATGCTTCAGTTTGATGACGAATCCCAAGTGGTCTAACCTGCCATTCCAGTGATATTTGGGGTTGCCTTTTGTGGTAGAGTGAGTCGGATCTAAGGATCTAACGTGAGGTCTGGATTCAGTTTACTAACCTCTCTATCCTTCAGTTTCTGGTCTATAAAATGAGGATTAAAAATATCTGCAAAATTGTTTTCAGTAATAATAATCTGGGAGCCACCACAGTAGCGCTGTCTCTTGGCTGATTCCCTCCAGGGATGGACAGCTATATAAATGTTGGGTAGATATTACATAAAGAGAAATATTCTGTGTTCATCCATTGAGAAAACATTTACTGAGCAGCTTACTATGTGTTACATATATCTATCGATAGATAGATATGTCCTATCTATAGGTACACCTTGAAGGGGAAGGAGAAATACATTTTAGAGATTGCTTCCTGAAAGGGGGCCCTGGTTTCTTGTTCTATTCCGACTGATTCCCCAGGGAGCTTGAGGGACCCTCTGCATGGAACTCCAGCTTTCCGGGCCTTCAGCGGAATAGTAGCAAAGTCTGCCCTCTAGAGGCTAATAACTACTCCTGGCAATAAAAGCCTGACTCGAAGTCACAATGTCCCACCCGATAAGCAGCAGCTGCAGATGTGTGAGGCATGGAATTTGTTGAGTGCGTAGGAAGGCTAAATTGCTAATGAATGAATCAGAGCGAGATTCTGGATCAGTTCCTCTTAAAAAATACCGACACTTGGAATTTGTGGAAATGTGCCTCTTACAAATCTTGTATGTGTTACAGCGCATCCTCACCAAACTATTTTCCCTTATCTCCCATACTCCCATACATTTCCAGGTCCTTAAGGACTTGTGTATATCTTTGTGTACCTTGGAGAATTTGGTAGGATACGCCATACAGCACATGCTCTCAATACTTGTTGGTAGAATAGAGTTGAATTTTACTTTACCATGACATTTCAGAAAACTGGGACAAAAAAGAGCTCCAAGAGGTTTTCAGAGATTAAAAAACAGGTTTCATAAAACACTTTCCAAAAAAGCAGGCATGGAATGTCATCAGAGTTATCATCCAACCTGGAAACCTGAAGTCAGGGGAATAATGCCTTCTGAAGGAAAATTGTTTCCTGCCTAGAATTCTATACCCAAATGACCAAAAGAAAACAAGTATGACAAGAGAATCAAACATTTTCAGAAATGCAGAGTTTCCCAAAAAAGGTAGTGCCTCATCCTCTCTCTCAGGAAGCTGCTAAAGGATGCACTCCACCAAAACAAGGGAGGAAGCCTAGAGAGTAAGATGTTGGATCCAAGAAATGGGAACTCCAACCCAAGAGGCAGGCAACCGGAATCACCGAAATCACGGTAAAAGAAAACCCCAGGTGGACCATCACGTACCGGGCAAAAAAGCACCTTGTTCAGATGGAAGCTAGTCAAAAAAACTCCAGGAAAGGTTTATTGAAGCACTTGACACTGATAGGATTGTGTGTGAAACTCCTGAGAGGGGGTTTACACAACTGGGGGGGGGGGAATTAGAGCTTGGACTGGTGACAAAGTATCACAAATATAACTAAATAAATGGGAGCGATCAATTATTAATTCCAGTGGACTATAAAAAGCTATGGAGGGAAGGGGGAAAATCATGGTTATCTTAAGTGACTCAGGTGTGAATCACACGGTCATCACAATGTGAAGACTGGACGTTGATACAACCAAGTATGACATAACTCTATTGGGAGATTGGGGGGATGGGAAGTGAGCACATGTGTGTGGTAGGGGGGAGGGTGGGGTAAACAGAGCTAAATCTTTGGAAAGTCAATACATAATGCCTAACATGGACAAAATCAGAAAGTATCAACATACCATCTGGTTTACAGCTCTGGAGGTAAATACCAAAAGATTCATCTAATAAAAGTTAAAAGTCATTGGCTCAGGGGAGTAGGAAAGGAGGTTAAGCAACTGGTATTTTTGATACATGACCATTTGATTTATTAAACTTTGTATAAATTTGGCTTAAAAAAACTCTACACTTTAAAAATTGAATCAAACTGAGTGGAGATTGAATTTTTTCACTGAGGCCCACTGTGATGTCTAGGGGTGTGGTCAGTTCCAGCATGGATTTTATAATGTTAATGCTAAAATGGACACCCAGGACTCAACCTTAGAACCTCAGGGATGCTTCTTCAGCCGAGCTGTATCCTCCAAAGTTGTGCCATGTGTCACCTCAGAAAACTGGGTGTGTGGTCAGAGGCCCCATTACCCATATCCTAGTCTTGCTTGACCCTTCCCTGACCTTCCTTCTGCTTCCAGTGACTTTT